AGACTCGCCTTGCACCCTTCCTGCACGCATGGCTCGCCATTTCTACGGACAAATGGGTGCACTCTATAATAAGAGATGGCTATCTCATAGAGTTTTCTCTGACTCCCAAAATCTCCCGTTTTATCAGAACCCCGGCGTCTCCTGCCCTGCTACAGGAGGTACAATCGCTGACACAAAAAAACGCTATAGAGAAAGTCCCGATGGCGGATTGTTGCCGCGGGATTTATTCCAAATATTTCACGGTCCCCAAGAAGGACGGAGGACTTCGTCCAATCATGGACCTTCGTTTTCTCAATCGGTTCATCATTTACAGAAAGTTTCGCATGACCACGTTGCAAAGCATTTTACCACTCCTGTCTCCAGGGACTTGGATGGTCACTTTAGATCTCAAAGACGCTTATTTTCACGTCTCCATCCATCCTCGTCACAGAAAGTTCCTCAGATTCGCAGTCGGGGAGGACCATTACCAATTCAAAGCCCTTCCATTCGGGCTCTCTACCGCCCCCAGGGTTTTTACGAAGGTAATGGTGGTTGTCGTCGCTCATCTTCGCCTTCAGGGCATTCAGATCTTTCCGTATATAGACGACTGGTTGATGGTGGCAGATTCAAGAGAATGTCTCCTTCAGCACATCACCATCACATTGTCGGTCCTATCCTCCCTTGGAATTCTGGTGAATTTACAGAAATCCATGCTGCAACCTGCAACTCGCGTGCAGTTCATAGGAGCTGTCATAGACTCCCTAGCCACTCGGGCGTACCTTCCTCGCCAACGGGCAGATACCATTCGTCTGGAAATTCAACGTTTGTTCCAGTCCAACGTGACATCAGCGGTCCACATTCAGCGGATCTTGGGTCTCATGGCAGCCACCACTTCCGTGATCGAATATGCACGCCTTCGCATGCGCCCGTTGCAGCTGTGGTTTCTAAAGAAATTTCGCCCTTCCATCCATCCTCCGAGCCTTCAACTGGTAGTGCCTCCGCAGGTCCTCGTCTCCCTGCAGTGGTGGCTCGTGGACACCAATCTGTTGGCGGGTGCACCGTTCCAACCGATCGTTCCCGTAATGTCCATCACCACAGATGCCTCCCTGTGGGGTTGGGGTGCTCATACAGACGACACTTGTGTGGGTGCTCCATGGCAACCCCTTTGGAAGAGTCATCATATCAACTATCTGGAACTGCTGGCCGTAAAATTTGCCCTCAGATCCTTACTCAGACAGGTTGTAGGAAAAGCTGTGTTGATTTTTACGGACAACACAACTGCGATGGCTTATATCAATCGCCAGGGCGGGACCGTGTCCAGGTCCCTTTGCAGGCTAGCTATGGACATATGGGAAGAGTGCCTTCATTGGAACATCACTCTCCAAGCTGCCCATCTGCCAGGAACTTTGAACCAACAAGCGGATTTCCTGAGCAGAGGGGGAGCATCGGACCACGAATGGGAGTTGAACTCAAAGTATCTCCTTCCTCTTTTTCAACATCTGGGACATCCCCACATCGATGTTTTTGCAACTCGATTGAACAAGAAGTGTCCCAGGTTTTGCTCCAGAGCGGGGTTGGACCCTCTGTCAATGGGGGACGGTCTGTTGATGTCGTGGGCTCACGACTTTCTATACCTATTTCCTCCGATTCCGCTGCTCCACAGGGTGCTTGTGAAAATACAACAGGACAAGCCCCATTGTCTCCTGGTAGCCCCCTGGTGGCCTCGGCAGGTGTGGTTTCCGACACTGCTGCGGTTAGCCAAGGGATCCTTCGTACACTTCCCGCAGGAGTTGGATCTCCTCCAAGCTCAGGAAGGCCAGGTCCTTCACTACGATCCTCTGAGTCTCAAGTTGACTCTATGGGAAATACGCTTTCAGTGATGGATGACCGTATCAATGAGGTCCTGTTGAATTGTCGTAAACTGTCTACTAGGACGTCTTACGCAAAGAAGTGGGATTTATTCCTACAGTACTTGAGTTCTTCCAATTTACCTCCTCCGCCAGTGGATTTGAGGTCTATTTTTGCGTTTATTTTGTCCAGAATGGACTTGGGACTCAGTTTTTCTTCAGTTAAGGTGTATTTAGCTGCGGTGTCAGCTTTTCATCCATCTATTGATGGGTTTTCAGTTTTCTCGCATCCTCAGACGAAACAGTTTTGTAAAGGTCTTATTCGCCTGTACCCTCCCCGTCGTTCTCCGACTCCGGCCTGGGATTTGGCTTTAGTTTTGCGGTTTTTGATGGGAAAACCCTTCGAACCACTGGCCACTTGCTCTCTAAAGTTGTTATCGCTCAAGACTGCGTTTCTGGTGGCCATTACTTCTGCTCGTCGAGTCAGTGAGTTGTCTGCTTTAAGGTGTGATCCACCATACTTGATTTTTTCCCCTCATGGGGTGTCGTTGTCTTTGGACATCTCCTTCTTACCGAAAGTCGTTTCGGAGTTTCATCTACGTTCAGATATAGTTTTGCCGTCATTTTTCCCGTCTCCTGCCAATGAAGAGGAACGGAAATTGCACTCTCTGGATGTTAAGAGGGCGTTGCTGTTCTATTTGGGCAGGACCAAGTCTTTTCGTCAGTCTCCAGCCTTGTTTGTTGCTCACAGTATGCCCTCCCTAGGGAAGAAGATCTCTTCCCAGACGCTGTCCAGGTGGATTGTGGAAGTAATCAAGCTATGTTACGCTTTGGCTAAGAGACCTCTTCCAGGTCAACTTCGCGCCCACTCTACAAGGGCGGTGGCGGCTTCCACAGCTTTCCTGAGAGGGATGCCATTGGAGGACATCTGCAACGCTGCGACTTGGGCTACTCCGCTCACCTTCGTGAAGCATTATGCCCTTGATGTCCGGTCTACTCGTCGTGTGGCGTTGGGTCGGTCTATCTTGCAGACGGCGCAGGTGTAGGGCCTCGGCCCCTCCTCCAGGTAAGAGTTATTGCTTGCTATTCTCCCAAGGGTGTGATGCACAGAGACCACGAAGAAGATAGACAGGTTGCTTACCTGTAACTGGTGATCTTCGAGTGGTCATCTGTGCATTCACACCACCCGCCCTCCTTCCCCTCTGCTCTCGGCCCTTCATCTTGTTTCTTTGAAGGCTGTTGGGCGGCGGTCAGAAGGAACTGGCGGGATCTGCGTGCCCCTCCTTGGTCATGCGCAGTGGAGCCGGCGCGTGACCTGGGAGAGGCGCGAAAATCCCTTTTGCTAGCTATCGGTACCGAGAAGGTCAGCGCAGGCGCAGAGTATTCCCAAGGGTGTGAATGCACAGATGACCACTCGAAGATCACCAGTTACAGGTAAGCAACCTGTCTTTCTTTGAGTTGTAAAGCTGATAGCCAGTCCTAGGCTAAAGGCTGGATTCCAGATACTGACATGGATTGATTGGGTTAAATTCCCATTGGCTATGGAGAGAGGTAGGAAAAATTTATCTAAATAGGTATACCCTGCTTTTCTCCCAAAGCAGCTATTCTCCCCTCCTCCAGTTTAGCCTCACAACGACAATCCTGTGAAGTAGGTTTGGCTGAGAGTGACTGGCCCAAGGTCACCCAGCCAAGCTTCCATGGTAGAGTGAGGATTAAAACCTGGATCTCTCAGATCCTAGAAGTGACATTCTAACCACTACAGCACACTGTCTCTGAAGGAGAAAAATGTTAGTGGAATGAAGGCTGGATTCAACCTTACTGTCTACAAATTTTCCAGTAATAATTGTCATTAATAATTACTACCATTGTGGGTGTGACAGGCAAGAGCTAGAAGTTGCTCCTACCAATAATGCGTGTTTGGTATAATTCCAAGATAATGATTCCTATCCTGCTGTGCCTCAAGCACTGACAATATCACCTTCCTTGCTTGCTATTGTTACTGAGAAATCTGGTTATAATGAGAATAAAAAACAAGATTAGAAATGCAAAAAGTAAGCAGCTTTCTGACAGCATGAGAGCTTGCTGTGGGGGGGGATGACAAAAACGGGTAAAAGCTTTTATAGAAAACCTTATAAATAAAGTTACATTTTCTCTAGTGCCCTTGGAATGTTCTCCTTTTCTTGTGCTTCATAAGCAAATTATCAGCATCAGAGTAGCTGACCTCATGCCTCTTCACTGTGCACCATCCTGCTGCTTTAATGGATGCATCCTTTTGTGACAGTCTGTGGCATGTAAACTCTTAGCCTTCAGAGTCAGAAGCAGCAGTTTCTGAATGAGACCTCCTTATCCCCATCAGTCTGTCTGTTTGAGCTGAAAGTGCTTCCTTTAAGAAAGGTGGAAAGAGCCTCTAGAAGTAGTAGCTCATGAGTCCTCACTTGCCAGATGGTCCTGTCACAGTGGCAGGTAATGTCATGAGTGGCTTCTGCTGCCGCCACTTAAAAAGCAAGGCTGGTTAGACCAGAGTCCTGAAAAGGCAAGAAGGGTGGCCTATAAGGAAGCACAAGGGCTTTTCTGATGCTTCCCATGTCCAGTTTTGATGCCTGTAGTTATTGGGCCAAGTTAGAGAAGCTGCATGGGCTCCAAACATTTCCATTTTCAGCTGTGACAAATGCAACACAAGTGAATATAGTTGTGGTGGAAAGTGCCACCGAGCCAAAGCCAACTTTTGGCAACTCTTTTGGGTTTTCAAGGCAGGAGACACTCCAGATGTGGTTTGCCATTGCCTGCCTCTGCATAGCAACCCTAGAATCCCTCCCATCCAGGGGTGAGGCTGAGAGAATCTTTTGCAACCAAGGTCACCCAGAAAGCCTCATGGTGATGAGGGGATTTAAGCCAGGGTCTCCTGGATCTTAACCTGGTTCAAGGATACCACACTGGCTCTGGGTGCATCTTGTTTGGGCTTCTTCCCTAAAATTTCTTTTCAGTTGTTTCTGCTCAGGGCAGAAGAAAAATCAAGCAGAGCCAGCTAAACTGCCCCAGCTTACATCAGATTTTTTGAGGCCTGGGTAGGGATATCAGCCCCCTTCCCCTTAATTAAGAAAATCCTCACTGCGATACAGTGTAAAATATTCTGACCTAGAGTAAACGGAATGCTGTTGCCTTTTTGCCTTGCAGAACAGCCAGAAATGGATGAATTCACTCTGGAGAGGGTGCTGGAGGAGCTGGAGACGCTGTGCTACGAGAATATGAACATTGCCATCGAGACAGAGGAGGGCCTGGGCATAGAGTATGACGAGGATGTCGTGTGCGACGTCTGCCGCTCACCAGAAGGAGAAGACGGCAACGAGATGGTTTTCTGTGACAAATGCAACGTCTGCGTGCATCAGGCAAGTCATATTTCTCACTGGGGGAGGAGGGAGAGTTAAGCAGGTCTTTCTGCCTCATTAGCTTAAGCTACCAATGACAGGTTAGAAGCAGGAACATTGCTATTGATGGGGAAGCTTTCCTGCCCTTCATTCAGTAGCTTGTCGTATGCTTGTTTGCAGCAACAATGGAACTCCTGGGCTTGAGCTTCTCTGAAAGTTAAGGTGCTTCCAGCCCATCAGCAAGGTTTGGGGAGGAGAAATACTGTGCTACAGTGGGAGTGAAGGAACCTCCTGCCTCTTTGCCTTTTGCATAACTTTCCCTGCACTGTTGCAGTTACATCTTCTGTACATTAACCCATCTTTATCCCATGCCATAGGCTGTGTTCCTGTTGCTCATCCTGCCTAAAGGTGAAAAGCGGTTCCCCTGTCCCATTTTAACTTAATCTTAAAATAAATCCATACACTCGAATATCGATCAATAATCTCCAATGGGTAAAACAGTGTGGTGAGTAGGAGGCTATACTCATTATTTTTGCCTCCTATTTGTTTTAAGTTGGGATTTTTAAAAACTGTTCCTTTGAACATCTACCCTCATAAAGTTGCTTCTGTGAAAAGATCTAGTGGTCTTGACTGGGCAGACCGTGGCAGTGACTACTTGAAAGCACCTTTTTACAAATTGCTTGTGTTGAGTTTAATAAATAAGTAGGTCACAAATAGGATGTGTCGTCTGGGCAGTTAACTTCCCAGACTGTCTTTTAGAAGGAAAGAAGATCAATTTTAGGTCCATTGAAGTCAAGCTACCAGTTAGCAATCAATACTGAGTAGCTGAGTCTGGGATGTTCAGTTTAATCAGAGGTAGATCTTTCTTTAGCTTCCTTTAGGCTCTGCATTCAGAGGCTGGTCTCGGACTCTGTCTTAACAGAGCTCCTGTGCTGCCACATGCCGGCAGGATTTTCACAGAATGTCCTGGAACTGAGGGAAATGGTTGGGGGTAGGGAGCTTCTAGTAGTGCTATAAATTTCTCAGTGAATCACAGCTATTCAAGACTTGAATCAGGCTTTCATAGTAACACCACCCTTTCATATGGTACACTGCTCTTCATGCAATACAGCTGCTAGCATGTTAATCTTTGGATGCTGTGTGGCCATCCCTGTGGAGAGCAGTGTTCCCTCTAAGCTGAGTTAGTGTGAGCTAGCTCACAGTTTTTTAGCCTCTGGCTCACATATTTTTGTCTTAGCTCAGGAAGGATGGCTCCAGAGCAAACTAATATATGCAGCAGCCAAATCTCCTGCTCACAACTTTAATGCCAGTAGCTCACAAAGTAGAATTTTTGCTCACAGGGCTCCATAGCTTAGAGGGAACATTGGTGGAGAGGACTCCACTGTTGTGAAAATATCATGTGTTACCTTAAAATAATAACACCATTTACTGGAATAATGATAGCCAAACCTTGGCCCCTGCCATACGGCATGGGAAAAGGCGCTTGAAGGCGCGGCTTTTAAAAGCCGCGCCAACGTTGACACGGCGCGGCGGGATCCCACGGATCCCCCGGCCGCGCCGCCATTTCTCCCCGGCACGATCAGACGCCGGGGAATAAACACAGAGCTGACGGCAGGCCAGCCGAACTGCGCATGTCGGAGCATGCGCAGTTCAGCTGGGAGCCCGGGATGCGCCGGCGCAAGGACGCGCCGGCGATCAGACTTCCGGGTTGAGGCGCACCAAGGAGATGAACCACCTCGGTAGGTGGTTCAACTTGATGCGCCTTATCGCATGGATGGGACAGTTCGGGGACGGAAGCACCACGCTTCCCAGATGTTGTGGTGTGATCACGGCCGTTTGAACCGCCCCCGAACTGTCCTGCTGCCGGCCCAAATTCCCTCGTGTGAACGGGACCCTTGTTGTCCTATCAGACCCATCCTGCTATAATCCTAGAAAATCTCTAGTTATTTGCCAGCCTCCTACAGTTGTACCCCCTTTTGGTCCTTTCAGCTGTGGGGACACAGTCTTAGCTCCTAAGTAGCACAAGCAGAGTTCTGCTAGAGGAAGTCAACTTCCTCACCTCCCCATTCTCACGACAACCTTCTGTTCTCCCCCCCCCCATGTTGTGCCCTTGAGGGTCAGTGGACTTGAAGGAACAGTGTGTGGAGGAAATTGGGAGTCGGGAGCGTTTCAGCAATATCTCCCTCTACTCCTTCACAGACAGAAAAGCTGTCCCATTGGATGAGCTTCTAACAGAGTGACGCTTCAGGGTCTGAGCCATAGTAATGTAACCATATGCATGTTATTTCTCAAGAGTCTTCCTGCTAAGGAGGTTGGTGAATCAAAGGGTTTATCATATAGTAGAATGCAAGATGAGCAGGCTTCCAGAGGTCCTGGGATGATGAGAGACAGAGATAGTGTGTCCCAAGTAGAAATTACAAGCGGGTCCCTACTCTGTGGACCCTTCGTACCAGGCAGGCAGGCTGAATGGATGGCTTGTCTCACCATGTGGTGTAGCTTACTTGTCTTTTGTGTCCATCATGCCCACCAAGGGTGACATAGAGAGGGGAGAAGATAGAGAGCATTGAGAAGTCATGGACGTGATCTTTGCATAAGTTTATTTTAGGTTTTCTAATGACACTTAACACCAAAACCAGGAACTGTTAGAAGTGCTGACAGCCACTCTTCAGTTTTTTATTTTATTTTTATTTATTTATATCCCGCCCTCCCCAAAGGCTCAGGGCGGCTCACAAGGGGCAAGTGCCCTTTTTATCTTTCTCTGGTGCCCTTTTTATCTTTCTCTCTGGGCAACCCATGACTGTGCCTTTTTTCCACAGAGAGAAATGCATCACATGGAATTGCTGCTGAGCTCACTGTACGGGTGGGAAAGCAGTCAACAGTGAATTCCTCTCTCTAAGAATTTGTCCATGTTCTGTTCTTTTTTGCCAGATTAAATCAGATCTGTTTAAAGACTGTGCTTCCTAGACACATGAGCACTGAATGGAGAAAAGAGATATTGGATTTTCTTTAAAGGGCCATAATGTGATTCACACACTAACCTGCAAGTGAGCTAACCTGGAAGGGAGAACACAGTAATCTAGGACACACTGTGAATTCTAAGGCGCCTAAAGTCAAAGTTTGCAAATAACAGAAGGAAGGAAACGAGGAGGCAGAGGAGGCATATGGCCTGCAAGAAACATATTCTGCCTTATCCAAGAGGATCTCTTAATCTTGCATCATTTCATGCTGCACACGTCAGATCAATTAAATGAATAAGTCAGTAGCTGGTGTTGGATTACCTTTAGGCTTTAAACCTTACCACCTACTGAGGGAACTGCTAATGAGACAGTGAGCTTTTAACCTCTGGCATATTTGTTCAGATATCAGTAGCCCACACTCTATCATCTCGATAATGTAGTAGTAGGTGCCGTTCTCAAGCTTCAGTGGAAATGAAACTGAAGTGTTACGTATTCTGCGGGCATATTAAAATGATGGTTTTTGAGAATGCTGCAGTGAAACTACATAGAACTACTGAGGTAGACCATTAGTTCATCTAGCCCACCATTGTCTTTGACTAGCAGCATCTCTCCACTGCTGGATGTCAGAAGCCATTGCAGACGGGGAGAGGGAACTGCCTAAAATCCCAAATGCCTTCCAAGATTTGAGGGAACTGCCTAAAATCCCAAATGCCTTCCAAGATTTATTGATCATTGCCTGGGGAATCTACATGACCCTCCCCCCCTTAAGAATTATTGCCTTCGACACCTTAGTGTGCCAAAAGTGACTTACAATGTGAGGTTCTGTTTCTTAGATTATTACTTCCTTCCTCTCACAGTTGTTCCCTTTCGCTCAAAAGGAACACCCCTTGTAATCTCTGAAACGTGGTTTCAGATTATCGGAGGACCTATGCCGGGACTTGCCCTGGCACAGGAGACATTTCCCTCAGAGGAAACTTCTCAAGGACTGAGGGGTCCGTGTGCCCATGGCTGCACTATAGCTGAGGCTTCTTGCCACCCTGAGCCTTAGAGGGGAAAGGTCCTTGCTTTTCCTACTGCAGAAGACCCCTGCTTAAGAGCCAGTGGAGCAGCTAACCAAGGACTCCCTCAGTCCAGTTCACCTCCAGCACTCCCAGAGTCTCCTTTGGGAACAAAGAAAATAGAGGGCTGAAGCCAGGACCAGGTGAAAGAGCACACTCCTGGCAACTCAAGGCATCCTGCACTCCAGTCTCATGCCAGAGGAGAGCACCACTGTTCGTAGGACCCAGCTGTGGCTGCGGGAAGGGGTGAGGTTATCAGCTTCCTGTATAAGCCTGCACCCTGACCTGGATGGCCCAGGCTAGCCCAATCTCTTCAGATGCCAGAAGCTAAGCAGGCCCTGGTTACTATTTGGATAGGAGACCACCAAGGAAGTCCAGGGTCGCTGTACAAAGAAGGCATTGGCAAACCATCCTTGTTAGCCTCTTGCCTAGAAAACCCTATGGGTTTGTCGTACGTTGGCTGTGACTTGACTGCACTTACACACACATGCACAAATAAGTCTTCGGTTGAGTCTTTGCTAGTTCAGCAGCTCTCTAGCCTAGGGTGTGCTACTTCTGGATGGCTCCCTGCTTCTACACTGAAGCTCTGATCCAGCCCAGCCTGGAACTGGTTGCCATTTGGATACCCGGTGTTTTTATGCCTGGTTGTCTAGATAGAGAACAGGTCACTAAGCTCATTGACATCACTGGGCTTAGTCTGGAGTACCTGTGCATTGGATTGCAAGTTTGGACATTGTGAATAGCAACATTTTAACATGTACAAGAGGTCTACCCGTTGTGGTTCAATACTTGCTCATGGTAAAATGATATGCAAGTTATATTAATTGCCTGCATCCAAGATGCACAAATTAAATATGATTATCTAATCATTTCACAGTGCAGCTGTGAGTGCCGTCCATCCCTCTGGTAAATAACTCTTCCTTCCTCCTGTGTTTATTTAGGCTTGCTATGGAATCTTGAAAGTTCCTATTGGAAGCTGGCTTTGCCGAACCTGTGCTCTGGGAGTCCAGCCAAAGTGTTTACTCTGCCCAAAGAGAGGGGGTGCTCTAAAACCCAC